AAGTGGGCTGAATAGCCTTGTCCTGCTCCTATACCCTATGTGTCTCTGTGCGAGTTGCAGTACCACCATGGCACAAATATGAAACATGGTTCTAGTTATATTGAGGGTACTTGAGGAGTCTGATGGGAATTACCTTGCACCCAATCTTGTGTATGCCATGACAAACCGACAATGCTAACTCATTCTCATGGGGACATGCAGCACTGAGCAGACAATGGTGCTTACCCTCAATGTAGCACAGCAGATCATTCATTGGCTGACAGCACTGGATCCACTGGCTCTTGAAGCACCCACAGATACTGACCTCCATCTGGGCTGCCTTTGTCAGCACATGGATTCCTGTTTGCATTCCACGGAAACAGTACATCCCTTCTCCTCCAGACAGCCTACAGGAGAAAATTGAGGATGGCGTCGCTGAAGCATGGATCTCATTTCTGTCTGGAGTGAAGACATCTTCTGGAGGTGAGTGGATGCAGCCCACAGAGTTTGACTGCTATTACTGGCTTTCAGACAGTGAAATACCGTCCAGGTGCCTATGGCACCAGAAGTTGAATCCTGGAAGGTTTCAGTGGGTTTCAGAACTTCTGGCCCAGGAAATTTGTCATTCTACTTCCACACACATAGTCCTACCTGCTCCAGAGGTGTGAAATAGCATTTCTGAACAGGTTGATTACAAAGGAACATGTAATTTCTCAAAACAACTCAACTCTTCTCAGGGCAGAATTACCTCCTGCTACTGGGGACATTGCCACACTTAGTCGGAAAAGATCAAGATTAACTGTGCCTTACTATACCCAATATCCAATTTCTCCCTCTCTGAGTCACATTATGTTTCATTGTACAGTGTCCCATCTGCCTGTGAATCACACTGTGACTAACTGTATCCAGTTTCCTATCTCTTTTTTTCCCAAACTGCTTATAGTATCCAATTTATCACTTGCGCAGAGTCTCAATGAAATTTGTTTTGTAGCTTGCAAAAAAAATCTCAGATCAATGAACAAACTGTCACTGAAATGGAATTGCATGTGAATACTTTGAGCTCTTGCGAGGGATGAATCCAGTCGGGGATTACAGAATCTGTGGAATATTCTATTTTCAACACTGGCATTGATGAGAATTAAGGGACTCCTTTCCGTCTGGAGGGATGAAGAAATGACCATTGTCTTTTCCATCTCGATGACACTGCATAGATCTACCGCGGCCTCAGCTCATCTGTTGCTGAAAACCTCACCCTTGACTTTGCCACCTCCAGACTCGACTAGTCGAACAATGTCTTAACCTCCCTCGCACCCTCGTCTCATTCGTGCTGTCATAACAGGTCACGAAGCTACACTGGTTCCCAGTTTGGCAAAACCATATACTTTTTACTCTGTGTTCATTTTCCTCCATGGAATAACAACCACTTTGTCTCTGTAATCTCTATCCCTAAACTCTCCAATTTATTCCTGCTGCTTTTACTTTAACCTCTTGAAAATCCATGATCTTAACCCCTCTGCTTTCAGTTGCCTAAATTCTGGAATTCCCTCCCTAAGCGTCTCTAATTTTACCACTCCCTCCTTCTAAGACACCAATTACTTATTTGACAAGGTTTTTGGTCATTTTCCTAATAACTTCCTTTCTCGTTGAGCGTGGAAGTGCTGTCAGAATACAGAGGCGTGCAGTCCATTTTACTCCGCCAATGTCACTCTAACCCAGGTCTGTTGTTGTAAGCCAAAGGAAACGCCGAAAAGTGTGGAAGGGGCGGGTGACTCCGTTCTCCCGTTCTCCCGTTTCCCTCTTTGGACAGCTGAAATACTCTCAGCATCCTCCAACTAAAGAGAGCGGAAGGTGAACTCTGCCCAAAAAAAAAATGGACAGTAACAAGTCACAGGGTGAAGGAATAACAGCGAAATTGGAATAAGAAGAATAATTAAACCCATCCACAAACAACCTCTCCTTTAAACCCATGTTGTTCATGGCGGTGAGCTGTCTTCTCGACAACTGAGTGTCTCCTCTGTGTTAAGGTACAAACACATTGCTTTGGGGCTGGAGTCACGGAAGAGGCCAAACAAGATCTGGTATATAAATACGCTTTCCTATTCGAAGAAAGGCTAGTGAACCCGATGGCAATTTTTTTTTCTCTCTGTCAGTTCGATAGTTGCGTGGTCGCTATTACCGAGACAAGCTTTTATTTCAGTTCTGATTTATTTTGTGGGAAATTCCATAAATGTTACGGTGGGATTTGAACTCACGTCTCTGGGATTATTCGCTCTGTGACTAACCGCTGTGCTCCTGAATGTAATTAACATTTACATTTCATCTAATTTGCAGTTTAAACAAAATCTATTGAATCGTAAAGTGGATTAAATTCATCGTATTCCATTTTGACTCAAACATTCAATTGATGAATTAATCTTCTTGAGCTTTGGTTATGTTTTACTTCCCCTAATGTGAATAGCTGGGAAACTGGATCACTGTTTCCTCCGATCTCCTTTATTAAACACTGTTAGCAATTACTTGTTTCATCGCTCTCTCTCTCTCTCTCTCTCTCTCTCTCTGTGTGTGTGTGTGTGTGTGTGTGTGTTGATCTAACGGGGATGAGAGGGAGGGACAGGCAGATATCTCTGTTTCTAAGCTTCTGCCAGTGCTGTCGAGGGCATAGTCAGGGATTCTGGTGAAAAGTGTTCAGATAAGACAGCAAGAGAAAATTAATAGTGAGACCCTCATTGAGTATAGGAATTGGGAGGTAATGTTGCAGGTGTACAGAACATTGGTTGGGCCACTTTTAGAAAACTGCATTCAATTCTGGTCTCCCTGCAATAGGGAAGATGTTGCAAAACTTGAAAGGGTTCAGAAAACATTTACAAGAAGTTGCATGGTTGTAGATTTTAAACTGTAGGGAGAGGTCAAGCAGCATCAGAGGAGCAGGAATGCCCTCCCCCATTTTGCCCTCCCCCATTTCTGAAGAAGGGTCCAGACCCGAAACGTCAGCTTTCCTGCTCCTCTGATGCTGCTTGGCCTGTTGTGTTCATCCAGCTCTACACCTTGTTATCTCAGATTCTCCAGCATCGGCAGTTCCTACTATCTCTGAATAGGCTGGGGCTATTTTCCCTGGAGCATAGGAGGATGAAGGATGACCTTATGAATGTTTATAAAATCATGAGGGGCGTGGATAGGGTAAATAGACAAGGTCTTTCCCCCAGGGTATGGGAGTCCAAAACTAAAGGGTATATGTTTAATGTGAGAGGGGAAAGATTTAAAAGAGACTGAAGGGGCAAAATTTCACGCAGAGGGTGATGCTGAATGGAATGAGCCACCAGTGGAAGTGATGGAGTCTCGTACAATAACAACATTTAAAAGGTATCTGGATGGTACATCAATAGGAAGGGTTTAGAGAGATATGAGCTAAATGCTAGCAAATGAGACTAGTTTAATTCAGGATATCTGGTCAGCATGGATGAGTTGGACCAAGGGGTCTGTTTTCGTGCCGTACATTTCTATGACTCTCCCAAAAGCAGTTTTTTACTCAGCTCAGTCTCAAAGGCTAAGAACTCTTGCTCTCCCTGGATTGCTGCTCCTGTAATACAAACCCCTACACCACTGAACCCCCATACATAATATCAGCACAGCATCTGTTTAGGAATGAGTGTATTTGCACCAACGTCACAGCCACAGTCTGAATACATTCTCACCCTGGAGTCTTTCCGTCTCACTCACCCACTCACACTGAATACAGAATCAGAGAAGAAAATTCAGGAGATGGAACAGATTGGAAAAGAAGGAGCAAGGACATGTGTCTTTTTAAAAAAAAACGATAAGTTACAGAATCAGAACATAATTTGCGGGATAAAAGAGTCGAAATTTGGGCACATTGTTCTGGCTATTAAACCTCTCATGATTGCAGACGCGAAGTCAATATCTAGCCCTCAACCAAAATCGCAAGAAACAGGAAACTTTTGATTGTGTTTGTGGGGTGTTGCTCTGCGCAAATTGACTGATAAGCCCCCAACATTGAAAGAGTGACCACATTTCATCGAATAAGTCGCTCATGGTGAAGCACTTTGGAACGTCCTAAAGCTCTCAGTTAGAATCTGATCTTACTGCGGTCAGTCGAGGTTTCAGACACACTTCTAACATTGCAATATGGAACCTGTAAGATGTGGTTCAAAGATCTGAGGAAGGGTCACTTGACCTGAAACGTTAACTCTGATTTCTCACCACAGATGCTAGCAGACCCACTGAGCTTTTCCAGCAATTTCTATTTTTGTTTCAAAGATCTGGGTTGTTTTCTTTTAAATAGCAGGTAACTGATTGAGTTGGAGTATAATTCCCTGTGATAAATGACATGTTCTGAAATATATCATACATTTTCAATTATTGTCAAACCATATGGCTGATTACTACATCAGGAGTTTTCCCTCAAACAATGATGTACAAACTAGTCACCCTGAGGAGATGATTAGCTTAACAACAGGATAATTACCATGTAAAAACTATCAAGAATTTGCATTTCAGTGGCTTGGTTATGGGATACTTTATAGGACTGAACCAGATCAAATGATATGGTCAGACACTGTGAGATTTTAACAACTCCCACAGGAATCCAATCTGGTGTTTTGGCTGAAAGCAGAACTTCATAAAAATGAAATGTTTCACAGCAGTGCCGAGAAGTTTGAATATTATAAACATCAGTGACCAGAAACAGAATTGGACAGGAGGTATAATCCCACCCGTCCAGATTGACTAAGATCCCTCATCCCTGGTGTAATTCCTGTAACTGGCTTTAGTACCCTCACCAACATCTAGAATGTTATCTAGAAATGGACACAATCCTCCAGCTTGGGCCTAACCAATGATTTCTAAAAGTTTGATATCACTTCCTTGTTTTTGTACTCCATGCATCTGGTAATGAATCCAATATAGGAGTGTGAATAAAATTCACTTTAACAAAGGCCAATCAGTGAGTCACTGCTCACGGTGCCACACACAACAGAGGCTGTTTCAGAACAGGTTGTACTCACCAGAGTGCAGTACATCTCGGGGGTCTCTCCACACGTGCTGTTGGGGGGATCCAAACTGATCTTCAGGAACCTGGTGAGCAGGGTGGTCTCAGGTTGGCAGGCCATGTAATCCCAACTCATCCATTGGTCCCAATGGACACGGGTCTTACACAGGTCATAGTGACCCCAGGACGGGAAGTGCTGTGCAGAGAATGACAGGGTCACATAGAGAGTGTGAAGGGGCAGCAGGCTGGATAGATGCATCACTCTGACTGTATCCCCCTTAGAGAGGCAGGAATCTCAATCCTTCTTGGGGTGATTCAGGAGACTCTCTGCACTTGCACCACACTCACTCAGGAAGCAACTCAATATGGGCAGATGTTCCCAGCCTTGGGACTCATTCTATTTTCTGTTGTGTTGGTGCAAATATTCCAAGGTTGAGATTCCAGTGTTAGAGCTGATGTGCCGGTTGTTCTTATTCAAAATATTGTTTTCCTCCCAGAGCTGTTTGTTGTGTCAGGCGGATGTTCTGCCTGTCTGATCAGTTAGTACAGGAAGCCAATATTAAGACATTCATCAGGTCAAATCCTGTTCCCCATTGCTCATCTCTTCTTTCATGAATCATTCGCCTGTTGGAAAAATTAATCAAATACGTCGACTTAAGAACAAGCAGTGCCTCTGAATTTCAGCCTTCGACCACAAACCACCCTTAGACTCCACACCTCACTTGAAATGCAATGTTGCAGGCATAGAGAGCAGTTGTCACTTACAGCGTTCACTAGGAAGCAGATATTTGCAATTTTTATGTATGCAATATAAGACCAATGAATGATGTGCCTATTTACATAGTTAGATTATCTGACTAGGTTGAAGTACTAGTCTGGACGCTGGGGAGAGCTCGTCATCACTTTATTTTCAAAATAGACATCATGGAATCTTTTACATCCCAATAGGTTGGAAAGCATCTTAGTTTTAGCGCAAAGGTGACACCTTTAACATTACAACACTATCAGTCTTGAGCTGCTAGACATTCAACACTCAGTCAGTACTGACCCTCTGACAGTATGGCACTCCCTCAATACTGACCCTCCAATAGTGCAGCATGCCCTCACTACTGACCCTCTGACAGTGCAGCACTCCCTCAATACTGACCCTGCAATAGTGCAGCACGCCCCCAGTACTGACCCTCTGACAGTGAAGCACGCCCTCAATACTGGTGCTCTGATGGTGTGGCACTCCCTCAGCAGTGACTTTTGGACAGTGCAAAATGCCCTCCATGCTGCCCCTCTGACAGAATAACACCTCATCAATACTGCCAACCTGCCAGTGCCTTCATGTGACTCCGGATTTACAGGAGTTGTTGACTGTAAATCACCCTTTAAAATGGTATCAAGACACAACTTTGAAAGGAGCAATTAGGAATGGGCAACACAACTAGCTTTACCAGCAATAGCAAGATCCCATAAAAGCGTAAATAATTTCTGACAGTGTCACACTCTGTTAAACCAACGCTGGGATTCGTGCCAGGTTAGATTGTTGGCTCGAACCTCTGGACTGAGTTTGATTCAGCTCCGTCAGGAGGCATTAGGAATAACAAGGTGAAAGAATCAAAATAATGTTTTCTCCTTTTCCCAGCATTGTTAGGGAGGTGATGGCATGGTGGTAATGTCACTGGATTAATAATCCAGAAACTCAGGTGGATGGTCTGCAGGTATGCGTTCATGACAGGTGATGAAACCTAGATACAATGTAAATCTGGATTTAAAAAGCTATCGTAAAGGCAAGCATTGTAACCACCACTGATTGTCATAAAACCCCATCTGCTTCAGAAATGTCATTTCAAGAAGAGAATCAGTCATCCTTACCTGGTCTTGCATATGTGTGACTCCAGACGCACTGCAATCTGGCTGACTGTTAACTGTCCTCATTCTAATAAATCCTGACCTAGCCAGCGATGCATATTCTTTGAACTTTTTTTTTAACTTATTTTAATTCCTCTTGATACTGAAAAAGGAAAATGATTCTCATTCCAAGCTTTAAGAGTTTCCCTTTTGTCTTGTTTGGTGACCATTCCCATATCCTATATTACAACACAAGGTGTTACTCTGAGCTGTGACTGATATCAAGATTAGTAACTCAATTATTTATAGCTCATCCTCGAGAATAAATACTATGAGCCTTTATAAATTGCTACCCTGTGTGCAGAAATAGTCACTGAATGTCTCACTTCCTCCCACATTCCCCTTCAGCTTTCACGTCATCATAAATGACAGTCACATTCTGAACCCAACATCACTCCACAAATCCCTGAGCACACACTCACCATCTCCAAACTTCAGACACTCACTCAGCAACTCCACCCACACCCACCACCCACCAACACACGCTCACATTTTTCAAACAACCAACGCGCTCACCATCTCCAAACCCTGACACAACACTCATACAGTCATGAAGTCTTGAGTCATACAGCACAGAAACAGACCCTTCGGTCCAACCAGTCCATGCCGACCATAATGCAGACTAAACCAGTCCCACCTGCCGGCACTTGGCCCATATCCCTCCAAACATTTCTTATTCATGTATTTATCTAAAAGTCTTTTAAATGTTGTAACTGTACCCATATCCACTTTGTCTTGAAGTTCATTCCACACATGAACCACTCTCAGTGTAAAAAAAATGACCTTCATGTCTTTTTTAAATCTTTCTCCTCACACATTAAAAATATGCCCCCTAGTCTTGAAATCTCACACACTGGTGAAAAGACACTTGCCATTCACCTTATCTATACCTCTCATGGCTTTATAAACCTCTTTAAGATCACCCCATCTACCTTCTATGCAGCAGTGAAAAAAGTTCCAGACTATCCAGCCTCTCCTTATAACTCAAACCCTTCTTTCCTAGCAACTGATAAATCTCTTCTGAACACTCTCCAGCTTAATAATAACCTTCCTATAACAGGGAGAGAAGAACTGGACACAGTACTCCAGAACAGGCCTCACAATCATTCTGTATAACCTCAACTTATCGTCTCAACTCCAATACTCAAGTGTGTGAGCAATGAAGGCAAGCATGCAAAATACCTTCGTAACCACCATCTCCAAACCCCCAACACACACTCACCATTACCAAACCCCCAATACACTTATCATATCAAAACCCCCAACATACACTCACCATCTCTGACCCCCCAACACACTCACCTTCTCCAAATCCCTAACACACGCTCACCATCTCTGAACCACACACACTCACCATTTCCACAACCCCAACACACTCCCCATCTCCATACCTCCAACATACACTCACAATTACCAAATCCCCAATACACTCCTCATATCAAAACCCCCAACACACACTCACCATCTCTGAACCACAACACACTCACCAAATCCAACCCCCAACACACACACTCACCATCTTCAAAGACAGGAGAGATCTATGGCAGGGAAAGGAAGAGGGGAAAAGAAGACGGACAATAAGAGTGGTGGAGAAAGACAGAGCTGTGAAGGACGGTAGAACAAACCAAAGGAAGATTAGGAGAAAGAAAGATGGAAAAGCAGAGAGAAATTGGAATAATCAGAACAAAAGGAGAAAGGAGACGGAGTGACATAGATAGATAGATACATAGATAGATAGAGTTAGAGAGCGACAGAGAGAGAGTTGGGAATCAATGGAGTGATCGAGATAGAGAGATGGGGATGAAGTTGAAGGGAGGAAGATTAAGTAATGTGAATGGAGAAATGGAGATAGAGATGAAGATTAAGATATCAAGACGGAAAGATGTGGATAGAGATGAAGACAGATAAATGGATAGAGAGGTAGAGAGAGAGAGGTGGAAATGGAGAGATGGCGATAAAGAGAGCGGGAGCCGGTCCCGGCGCCGTAGACTCACACGTTGAGACTTCAATGTAAATCCTGGAGAGAGACTGGAAGCAGCCCATCTGAGGATTCCGCATGGTCCTAAAGTCCTGCTTCACCATCGGACTTTAAATCTGCGCTAATCAAAACTGTCTGAGATTCTTCATGCTTTTATAGTGTGGAAAGTGTTCTCCACTATTCTACAAAACGTGAAGTCATATAGTCTGAATAATAATGGTGAGAAAGGCCAAAGTCTAGAGCTGAGGTCAGATGCCTGAACTGCTTCTGGAACCTGCCTTGTAGCTATTTATTTGCCATCTACTCGGAAGAGCTGACTAATGTCTTATCTATTCAGGAAAACGGGGAACAAGCGAGTGGACAAGAGCCAGCACAGGGCCCTTAGATCGAATGGCCGTTTCCCCAGCAAGTTTCTCATCCCGTCACACTACTCCACCGGACATAGTAAGAACTGCCGATGCTGGAGTGTGATATAACACAGTGTGGAGCTGGAGGAACGCAGCAGGCCAGGCAGCATCAGAG